AAGTAGGATCACAAGTCCGCATCTTGTACAGCAATTAACCACTAAGAAGAATATATGCAGTGTATTATTTGTTGAAACTGTACTTCTGATTTGATTTGAAACTGTCTCATTGCTGTTTATCAATAAAACTTTGAAAAAAAATAAAATAAAATGAAGAGAACTAGAAAAATAAATAAAGTGATTGCCAGGTTTGATGGTGCATTCCTGTTGTCCCAGCACTCTAGAGGCTGAGGCAGGAGGATCACTAGTTCAAGACCAGCCTGACTGTTCTTTTTTGTAATTGAACTCATGACCTCATGCTTGCCAGGCAGGCACTGTGCCACTGAGCTGTATTCTCAGCCCTACATAGCGAGTTCAAGACCAGTCCAAACTGCATAGCAAGACCCTGTTTCAAAAAAGACAAGGAAAGTGATACTGCCATGTTTTTTTTAACTTCTCTATGTTCTTAATGCAGGTCTTTATATTACCATTATAATGTAGAGATAGGACCTTAAAAAGACAGTTGAAGTGTCTGACCTCAATGATTTGGTTTTATGGTTTATTTTTCAGGGAAAATTTAGTCTTACACTGAATGAACGTTTCAGCATGAATGGCGGTTATGTGGGTAAGTAGTATTCACAAGTGTAATGGGAATTTCTCAAAGGGTGGAATGATACTTTCTGATTGTCCTGGCATTGCTGTTTGATCTCTTCCAGGTCTTCTAGAATGGATTTTGGGAAAGAAAGATGCCACATGGATAGGGTTTATCACCAGATCAGTTCTGGAAAATGGTACAAGGTGAAGTGATTAGTTACTTTAGTATCAAACAGTTAGTTTGTTTATTTATTTATTTTTGTGGTACCAGGGATTGAACTCAAGACCCTGCACTTGCCAGGCAGGCACTTATTCTACTGAGCTATCTCCCTGGCCCTCAAACATTTAGTTTAAATTACTTATATTAAAATAAGAATGTATTTCCCAACCCCCAGTTTAACATCTGTTGAGGAACAAATACAGAATTTTTTAGGTGAACATTTGACACTCACATGAAATTAATTTTTTTTTCTGTTTTGGTTTTTGTATATGAGACGGGGTCTCACTATGTATCTCAGTTGGCCTTGAACACTATGTAACCCAGGCTGGCCTTAAACTTATAGTGATCCTCCTGTCTCAGCCTGCTAGGTGCTGAATTACAGGCGTATGCTACCATGCCAAGTGTAATTACTCATATTTTGTATGTCCTTATAGCAAGGAAATGAATTATTATTTTTTTTTAACATTTATTTATTGTGTGTGTGTGTGTGGCCAGCTCAGCCCACCAGGGGGCGTGGCTGGCTGGCATGTGGTGCTGGGGGATCGAACTGTGGTCCCTATGCTTTTCCAAGCTTGTTCCAAATAGGTGCTTTAGACCACTGAGCCATCTCTCCAGCCCAAATGTTTTCTTTTCTTTTTTTTTTTTTTTTGCGGAACCAGGGATCGAACTCAGGCCCTTGTGCTTGCCAGGGAAGCGCTTATTCCACTGAGCCATCTCCCCAGCCCCGGAAATGATTTATTAAAAAATATCAGGGATACTGATACTCTGAAGGGTTCCTGTGAATATTTTGGCATACAAAAATGATCCTCACACACAGCATAATGTAGTAAAATCTTCATTTAAGTGGCACATATTAGCCCAGAAGTTGCATTTTGCTGTAGCACAGAGCTCTCCTAATAAGAGCTCCTTTTCCTTCAGCTCACACTGCATCCAATTAAAGGACATAGGCTAAATGAGTGTGGAGCCTGATTCTAGTGCTTTCCAAGGGATAAATTCTTAGTTTTCTTTAATAATCCACTCCAGTTTTTGAAAGCCCACATTTTCCTGAAGTTACTGTCTTTGCCCTAAGTTTTATGTACTATAATATTCTTTCCCCTTCTGTTGTTGAATGACAGGTACAGACAGTAAGAGTGGCTCCTAAGCTCTGGAGGTGGTTATGTTCTTCAGCTGAGAGAGAACTTCTAAAATTCCTCACCATTCTGTTTTAAAAATGGTCACAGGGCCAGGTGGTCTAAGCAACTGCCTGCCTGCCTGCCTGGCAAGCGCAAGGACCTGGGTTTAGTCCTCGGTATCATGTGCTGTGCTGGCCCCAAGCCAAGCCAGCCGCCAAAACTGGGCATGGAGGTACATGCCTGTAATCCCAGTGCTAGGGAGGCTGAGACTGGAGGATCACTCTGACTCTGAGCTGTGTACCAAATAAAAGATTTACAAAAACCCTTGTGAAAGTATTTTTGCTTAGTTTTCATAGTAATACAAGAACTATTTCCATTTTAAGGCATCAAAAAAAATGTTTTTTCATGTTTCCATATAGCTATGAAGAAGCCAAGAATATACTGGTCAAGACCAAATTGTTGGCCCCAGCATACTTCATTCTGGGAGGTAACCAGTCTGGGGAGGGGTGTGTGATTACACGAGAAAGACAAGACTCTTTGGATGTATATGAGTAAGTACCTTTTTAAAGGCAAGTAAGTAGAAACTAAAGCCCACACTGACGGATGTGCGGGTGGGAGGCCTGAAGCCTAAGGGAATCTTTCCTTCTGTATCTAGACTTGACCCTAAGCAGGGCAGATGGTACATGGTGCAGACAAATTATGACCGATGGAAAAAGCCCTTATTCCTTGATGATCGCAGAACGCCTGCGCAGACGTGTCTGAAGCGCACAGCCCAGGAGGTATATTTGCGTTGTCTCCTATAGAAGGAAGCTGTAATTCCAGTAAGGGTACTCCCACTGGGGATTATCTTAGTTCAGGAGTTGATCACTGTGGCTTCATATCCATATTTTTTTTCTTTGGCTTTCAAAAAAATTTATAAACCTCATATTCTTTAGTGTCTGTAGATGTCCTCAGTGAGTTTTAACTTAAAGAGCAAAATTTTGTAGTACTTTTGTTTTCTTGCTCTTAATGCTGGATACTGTTCTATGAAGTTAGATAACAAATAGGTAAGAGTTTAAAAGGGGAAAGAATATGTTAGAACTGTTACATCTGTTTCTAGCAGTGACTGCAAGGGACATTCCTCTAGGCAGGTTGATTGAAGAATGTTTTGGTTTCTCGTGAGCCATTTCCGTGGATAAATCTGTATTTAACTTACTGAACCGAACTCTTTGTGTTTTTTAGAATCTTTCATTTGCAACCTTGTATGATATTCTGTCAACAAAACCTGTTCTCAACAAGGTATTTAAAAAATACTTAACCATATATGTGCTTGTAGGGAGACAATTTGGTCCTGTGTTTTATCTTCCCTTGTTATCTTGGGTCAGTTTAAGCATAAAGTTACATGCAGTTTAAGGCCAATTTTTAAAAATATTTTTTATGTGGCTAAAATCATAAAATACAGTAAGCTTGTTGATCACTATGGCTTCATATCCAAATCAGTATTTTTTTTTCTTTACTTTCATGGCATTTAAATTAGTTCCATCATCACATTCCTGACTTCTCCCTGCCTGGCAGTAATCTCAAACTGTACTGCACTAAGTCAGACAGAGCTCTGTGTCTTGGTGGACTAGGGTTTCTCCAGAGCTTTATTACATTTTTAAAAATCCTTTCCTGGGCCAGGGAGATAGCTCAGCATCATAAGCGCCTGCCTGGCAAGTACAAGGTTCCAAGTTCAATCCCTGGTACTGCAAAGATAAGAGATAAACATCCTTTCCCCATACTATAATGAGAAATGTGAAAAGTTTCCCAGTCATCTTGTTTCTAGTGTGTTCCAGATATACTCCCTTGCTATCCCATTCATTCCATCTCTTCTTTTTCTTGGTTGCCAGGCCTCTGTCTCCCTAAATTCAACATGACTCTGTTGCCTCTGCCAGGAAAAAAAAAAAAGCCTCTTGTCCTCAAGCCCGGCTCCTCCATGAAGACACTTCCATTTACTGACCACCCCCATAGCGCTCATTTTGCCCACACCAGCTTGTTGGGCATGTTTGGTGCAGTCTGCATGACCCCCATGTCAGCTTGCATGTGCGCTTTGCAGTCTTTGTGCCTGCAGTTTCCCCTTTGTATTTGGAATGCCTTGAGGATAAGGACAGCCAAGGTAGATGGCGTATACACCTAGTGCAGAGATGGTGAGCCTTTTAGAGATTGAACAGCCAAACTACAACCGAAAACCCACTTATTTATCACAGAGTAAAATTAGGATTAAACCCAAATACACCATGGCCCTAGTATATCATTAGGCTATGTGTGACTGTTATGTCTACACAGAGGAGGTTAAATGAATCTTAAACTGTGGTGGTAAAGCAGTGTGCTGCTCAGCAGTAAGTTCTTGTAAACAGCTAAAGATTTTCTGTAATCTGTTAATGTGTATGACCAGGAAAAATCTTTTTATTGATATTGATTGCTTTGTTTAATAATAATATATACTATATTATGTAGTTTTAATATATTGTTTAATATTAAGTAATTTCTTATAGTAGATTTTTTTCAGGGGCAGATATACTAATATGTCTGAACATCTTCGAATGTAAAACATCCTCAAAGTAAAAGTAATTTTTCTTTCAGCTAACTGTATTTACAGCCTTGATGGATGTTACAAAAAATCACTATGAAGCTTACCTTCGGGATTGCCCTGACCCTTGTATGGGCTGGTGAGCACACATCGGCCCACGGAATACGCCAAGACCCGACAGCGCCTTGTCCAGCGCGGCTGACCAGTGCAGCTGTCCAGATTCTCTCTGCAGGCAAAGGACTCGAGACTGGTTCTGAGTGATACCCTTGCCTTTCTCAGCGTGTTTACTAATAGCAGACTGTTTTTACCATAACAATTGATTTTCTTATTTACAGGTTACTTCTTTAAGTGAAGTAAAACAGTCTTCTAGGATTTGCTGAGATTCATTTCACTTTGACATTTGGGCATAGGGATTAACAATTAAACCACCTCCATGGAATTTCAAATCGATTCTCTACAGGCATTTGTTTGAACTAGTAACTCATGTGGCTAATGTAAGTAGTCCACATTATTCAGTTTTTCACTTTTATTAACATAGTTGTATATTTTTCTGTGTAGCAAAATTTTCCTTCTAACTACTAAGAGAATCGATATATCATTGCATTTTGCTGTTAGTGGCAGCAATATCATTTCACTCCATTGGACTGGGAGGATGAGACAGACATTCAGTATTTCTGCCATTACAAATACCTTTGAAACTGTAAAAGTTTTGGGGATTCATGAAATAATATCTGAGGCAGTTTTTTATAATAAGAATGGACCTACTTCCCTTTTCACAATTATTTTACCTTCTAGTATTCCAGGAAGTTACAAAATTAAAAAAAAAACCTGAGTCCAAGTTGGGTATGGGGCACATGCCTGGAATCCCAGTGCTCTGGGGTACTGAGGCAAGAGAATCAAAATTTTGAGCCCATCCCAACAAATTAATGACACAACAAGCCCCTGTCTCAAAAAGGCCCTGCGTTCAACCCCCAGTACCAAACAAAACAACCAAAACTGAGCCCAAGATTCTGTGCACTGATGAATGAACTTCAGACTTGAAAAAGGAAATAGGAAGTGAACTAATTAACTTAAATTTTCACAAGTGTCACTGGTTTAATACATAGGTTTTTAGTTTGTCCTTCTGATCAACATGTATTTTTTTTTAAACTTTTAGTAATTAAAATATTTTTGAGAAATCAGTATTTGTAAAACCACTAACAGAATTTGTTAATGTAACTTTCACAATTAACTGGAACATGGCATTTGTGCAAGACTGTGGCCACTTCATTTGTATAATCTCAGTTGTATGGTGATGTTTAATAAACTAATCTGGCAAAGCTTATACACAATGACTAGGTGTGTATTTACATGTCATTCTGAGGGCAAGGGGTTATTATCAAGAAATACAAGCTGAACATAATATCTAAAGGAAATAACAAGTGTTGTGTAATGGGTTATTAAGTATATGACTAAATGTTCACAGTTGGACATGACTAATACTTGCCAACCCATAATCCTGTAGTGTCAGCACAGTTTGCAAGTGTCCAAGGGCAGCTTTTCCCCTAGAGAGCGAACAGGAGCTTACACACAGTAATAGCATCTCCAGGATTGTTTGAGAGAAGAAAGAAAAATTACAAAAGGGTTTGTGTTAAAATAGGATGAGATTAACAAGAACAATTTCAAATTTTCATCCTGTTATGGCATCAAGTGCTATAACTTGACGTCTTTTTGAATAGAGACCTTTGAGGCAGGTGAGAATAAAGAAGTGACTGCTAGACCGGGGAGATGGCTCAGTAGAATAAGTGCTTGCCTGGCAAGCGCAAGGTCCTGAGTTCAATCCCCAGTACTGCCAAAAAAAAGTGACTGCTGATCCAGACTAGATTCGTCATTAAGTTTTTAGGTAGTATTTAGTGATAGGTTATGGCCCTGGTATGAATTGCTGAATTATTATGGTGGCCATCCAATATGGCTGAAGCCCTTAAAACAACAGCTCATCTTCCCAGAGACCACCTTCCCCCTTCTTCTTCAGTTCAGCCCAGGGTGCAGTTTCCTTTCACCTTTCCTGTCACCTCAGGGAAGGCACCAATCAGCTCCTCGGGTGTATGTAAATTTCCCCCTCGAGCCCACCCCCGGCAAAAGGCCACAAAAACCTCAGCCTCCCTTTGTTCCAATCCAGAGAATCCCTTATCTTCCCAAATTTTCTGCGTGTCCTCCAACATAATGAAGCCCCTTTCCCTTTTTCCTTCTGCCTGTTTCTGTGCTGCAACACCGTCAAAACCTATCATTTAGTTGTAAAGCAGTTTTTAAAATGGTATGTACAATATTTATATAAGTTTATACAGGTACTTATGTATAACTAGACATCTAGAACATCCAGGGATGACTGTAAGATCTTAACCAAAATGTTTTTTGACCCTGACCTGAAAATAGTAGTCATTACTATTTTAATTTTCAGAGGACAAAACTTAGTAGTCATGGGCATTATTGTATTTTTATAAATACTGAGCAGAACTAAGGTATAGGTTGGATCCATACAATGGGCTATAATTTGCCTGTCTAGGAATATGACTTTAAATGTAGGAGTGAATCCTATATACATTCCTTCACACATGTGTTTCCAGACAGTTTAACTCAGTAATAGCTATTATTTATCCAGAACTCATCACTTACCAGGTTTTGTGATAGGTACATTTCATATTTTTCACAGAGAATTCCAATTCTGCTTGAAATTCTGTTTGCTAGTGATTAAAATATGGTTAAATGATTTCTTGAAATTAACAGCAGTGATAGGAGCTGGGACTTGTTGGGTCTAACTCTTGTTTTTATCATGACACTGTCCTTCATGACTTTATAAGTAGGACAACAAGTAGCCCTCCCACAGGAGACTTCCCCCAGTTGAACATAAAGTACCCCAAGACATCATGCTGAGCATGCCATGACTTTAGTATCTCTGTCTGTTGGTTCCCTATAAATTATGTTTCCATAGGGATTGGAAACATTTTGGGGTCAGGAACTGATATATATTCATCTAACAAGTTACTTTTTTTTTTTTTTTTTTACTACTCCAAGTCTACATTGTGCTCAGCTTTTGTGGAGTCAAAGGACTTGTCTTTTTTAGCTATCATTTGGCAACCCATTAAAAATACGGACAGCTCTAAAATTTTCTTCAGTTGCAAAGTGGAAAAGCTCAGACAGTTATCACTTAATTTCAGGATATGAGGGAAAGTTTTTATTAAGCATTGAATATAGTGAATGTAGCCAGCAGGCCTTAGGCTACTCTGTTGCTGTGCACTGGCACTGGCCATTGCTGGCATTGAGGCATGGCTCATCCTCAGGCCCCAAAAGGGGAAGACTGGCGGCTGCTATTTGTGTAGAGTTGTCAGCTTGCCTAGAATTAGTTCTTTCTTTTTCCGTAGGGCACTCCCTTCCTCTTATATTGAGAAACTAGGGTTTGCAAGCCAGGTGCCACTGGGAGACTGGTGCGCATTGAGCAATTTGTCATGGTATTTCCACATGTTTTGTGACCGCTTTTATCATACTATCTTCTCAAGATGGTTGGCCAATCAGGTGTTCCCTGATGAAAGTCAATTGTCTCCTTGTGTACAGAGAACAGACCAAACATAAGAAGAAAGAAAGAAGCCAAGAAGGTTTAGGAGGCAGTTTATTACACGAGTGGGCTTGACTAGGATCTCTCAGTCAGTCCCACCCACAGGGTTTGGAGACTTTTATCGAGAGGGCAAGTGAGGTACAAAGATAGATTGGGCATTTTCTGATTGGAGGGTTGGTTGATATCATGGATTGCTAAAGGAATTTAAACATCTTGTTACATTGCTAGACCATCAGTTAAACAAGCATGAGTTACACAAAGGAAGAAGTGTCCTGTTTTACTTAAAATTTAAAAAATAAAAATCTGCCCAGGACACCCGCCAAGACCAAGCAGATATGTCTGGCAGGCCCTATAATGGAAAACGCCTTCCTTTATGTAAACCCGTCTTTACTGCTTTTGTGTAGCTGACAGTCTTTCCATGTAACTTTATTTCCCACTTCGCTTATAGGCTGACTAGCAGAACAGCTCCTATATGTCTGGATGTTTCCTGAGCTTGGCATTCCTTAGCTATGATATAGATTGTACAGTGCACTATCCACTTGGCCTGTTCAGTATAACCTTGTTGGGGAAAGTGGAACAAATTCCAACAAACTTGAAATTCATATCACCTAGGGTGCCCACAGTAACAAAATCCTTGCCTCTGCCCCAGGAGTCTACCAACATCCATTAAGGCCAGCGAGTTAGCCTGCAAACAGGGTGAGATCTCAGACCCTTCATGGCTCTTGACAGCAGTTTGCCAGGTATGTCTTGAAATACTAATCCCTTAGCCTTTGGGGCAGCTGGGCAGGGTCCTGGGCATGCAAGCCCTGGGCTGGCTACCCACGTAGCACCTGGCTCCTTTGAGGGGAGGCTTCAAAAGCATGGGGTAGACTGCATCTCCTCAGGGTGTCAGCAGGCTGCAGTTGGGGACAGTGTGCAAAGTGTAAAGCAAGTTAGTACAGAAGATCACCTGCCCTGCAGACTAGGAGCCTGTGCCAACCAAGTTTTGGCTATCTGAAATCCACATAAAGATACCTACCCATTCACCTCTGCCCTCCGTATTTTTAATACCAGAATGAAAATCTGTCTTGGTAACCCTGATCCTCACTGGTTGCAGTAACAGCATTCAGCTGCTTCTCCCTGGAGAGGTAGAGCAAGACCAAGCAGATGTCCTAGCACCTGGTTTGCCACAGACCTGATCGCTGTCATCAACAAGAGGCTGTGGTGCAATCAGACAGTTTATGTTCCAGATACCATAGAGCCCTGCACATTAAGCATCCCTGCTGGCTGGGTGAGAGGTGCAGGTGCAGTGTGGGCTCCTGGTGGACTCCCTTTCTCGCCGTAGGCAGGACCTTTATAGCTTACAGGTCAGGTTGTAGGCATCTGAATTGGTGGCCTTGACTTTAATCATGCCTGTGCTTTCTGAAAAGTAAGGCACTGTTTTGAAATATTTTAAAAATTTGATTGGACCGTTACTATAATTATCAAAGAAGAAAGCTATTTGTCTTCTAAATGTAAGCTTATCTAAATTCTTAAATGGCTGTAAAAACTGCTTTAAATCATGTGGGCTTGGGCTGTGGTTCAGTGGTAAAGCATTCACAAGTTCCTGGGTTTAGTCTCCAGTACCACAAATAAATATGTAATATTTTTATGCACACATAATTGATCGTATTTTAATTGAGTTCATTGTAAAATCTTGGTCATAAATTGTATGTAAAACTGGGTGTGATGGTGCACACCTATAACTGCAGTACTCAGATGCTGAGGCAGGAGGACTGCAGTGAGTTTGAGGCTGACCTGGACTACATAATGGAGTTCAAGGTCAGCCTGGACTACCAAGTGAGAGCCACCCCCAAATTGTATGTAGCAGTTTCAAATATAAAATGTACAATTATATGTTAAAAGTCTACTTTTACATGTACTTTTTCTGATAGATTTTGTTTATAATTTATACATTTTAGAATTATTTGATGTAAAGAAAGTGGAACCACCATGTCCCCTTTAGCTTATTCCAGTATGTGGTACACACAGTCCTTTTCAGTCTGCACCGTGGCACACAGGTAGAAAACATCGGAACTTCTGATTCCCCACCTGTTAAGTGACTGGCACAAGTCACTGCACTTCCTTGGGAGTCCATGTCTGCCTCTGTAAATGGAGGGTTTAACACCAGTCTTCTCAAAGGATCCTTTAAGAATCTACATTTAAACCATACCTCAAGTGAATGCAGTTCAGCAGCAGCCAACACCCATCCAACGTACACTGGAGTGTTAGTCATACAGACACATGGGTGAAGCCAGTCAAAA